AGGCGCCCTCACAAGAAAACCATCAATTTCGAACTGGTCACCAAGCGCAGGGGGGACTGAAAATCGATGTGTCCCGGCCTTCGATTTAGGGACCTCCACATCTCTGATTCCGGCTCTGGCCAAAGATACCGTTGGTCTTGACTTTTTATTTAGAGCTTCCTAAATAGCAAAAATTAAAAGTTTGCACATGGCAGTACTGATTACCTATAGTTAAATTAACTATCCCTGATACTTTATTTTTAAAAGAGGCAGTTTTCACTTATATATACACATCTATACTAATACTATAAAGCTGCAGAGTTTATTTGTTTGTTTGTTTGAACGCGCTAATCTCTGGAATTACTGGTCCGATTTGAATGATTCTTTCAGTGTTGAGTAGTCCATTTATCGAGGAAGGCTATAGGCTATAAAATTAGGGATCCGTAATAAAATTGGTATTTTGTAACACAAGGTGTAAAATCGAAAACCTATTTTAGCGTGCGCTGCAAAAACTATTGACAATAGAACAAAATGATATACTACGGGTTTGTAGATCCTATTAAGACCTACAAAAAAGTCCGCGAGAACATATATCTAGCTATCATGGTTTAATCACAATAACCGATTTTGTGTTCAAAATAATTATTAAATCGTCTAAAGAAAAAAAAACTACGTTAAATATGTATCGTAATATTAATCTTTATCGAAATGAAGCATTATGTTAAGTGTAAGTCAAGAGTATTTATGTAGAAGTAAAATACTTTTGGTTTCATCTCAATCGGATATTTCGTTTAAAAGTTATCACGTGTGTAAGATGTTAAGAGTTGGTACCTATATATTTTATCTCGGTATTTCCATGGAAACGAGAAAAACGCAGGGCACGGCTAGTATAATATACATGTGATACATCATGGTCTAGAGCTCGTTGATTAGGATATGAATATTGTTACGGGTCTCCCGACCCGAAAGTACAATGCCAGTTCACGATTGACAATACTTTATTCATTACACAGTTCAGATAATAAACACTCAATATAAGTCAAAATGCACTCACTGTACACTATAGAAAAGGGTATTTTTTTTATTTTATTAAAAGTTGTAAAGGGCAGCCGTGAAAGTTGTAACTCAATCTCAAAATCTGTATTTAAACAACAATTACATAACGGTGATATTAGGTAGCTTCAATTACAGGATTATTTCCTTGCATATTAATTAGGTGAAGATCTGCTGAGTACTTTGGGAGACGAAACGGGGAAACTCCTCAATTACAAACAGTACATATTATTGCTCCTCCTTGGCTCGAGTCGAGTCTAGCACTGCTCAACAACTGCTTCTCTTATTCGTCTGTGGCTCAACAACAACACACAAACGAAGGCATATTTGAATCACATTGTTCTTGCGACGAAAAATTGATTCAGTCCGACAATCGCAAGCGCTCAACAAGTTGGTTAGATCCTCGCTAAGCACTTAAACAATGCCTCAATCGAAACCTGACCCCTAAAAAAGAGATTGTCACTGTTTGGTGGTCCGGCCGGTGTCATTCGTCACAGAATCTTACCAAACAGATGAGCATTACTGCAGATATGTACTGTGAAGAACTGAACACAATGATGGAGATGCTAGCACATTTCCAATAGCGGTGGGTCGTTCTCAAATTTTCTGACGACGAAACGCAACCGTTTTCTCTTAAACGAAAACTAGTCCTCGAAACGGTTCTCGTTCGCAACTGGTTTTGGTTGCGGCTGGGTGACGCAACGAAACGACACGCGACGGTCGAACGAATGTAACGCAACGAAACTGAACTAAATGAAATCTTGTTAACGTTCGTTTCGTTGCTGCGAACGAGACGACTAAACATCGAAATAAATGTAGTGTTATACGATAATCGACTTTAAATGTTCGATAATAAAGATTATATTATTGTAAAATCAAAGCTTAATTATCATAGAACGAAACGGCCTCTTAGCATTGCGTTCTATTATAGACTGTATTTGCTTATTCATAAAGAACATATTGGCTTGCAGACAATCCGAGGACTAGTTCGACGAAGACTGTTTTGATCCGAAACGTAAAACGGTTCTATCGTCGCGGAACACAAAACGGTCCTTGAAACCGGTTCGTCTTTAGAACGCTCACACCTATTTCCAACCAGCTTTGGTCAATCGTTCGACTACACTGCTCCTGCACGACAACGCGCGGCCTCATACTGCACAGCAGGCGGTCTCCAAGTTACAAGAGCTGGGAGCCATTCGCTTAACGGAAATGCTTTGGAAAACGCTAACGCTTACGATTTCATTTTGTTATTTCTAGCCATCTGAGGTTTTCAAATGCCACGCGCTCTTTTTTTCTTTTGCATTGGTAATAACAATATTAAAATCGAAAGCGTTAGCGTTTTCCAAAGCATTGCCGTTAGGCGAATGGCCCCCTGGGTTTTGGGAGTTTTCCGTCATCCACCGTACTCACCACACCTTGCCCCTACAGACTTATACTTTTTCCAGAATTTGGCTAACTTCTTAGCGAAGAAAAAACTCAATAACCGAGAGGCAAAAATGCATTGATTGCATGGGTAATTACTTCGTATAATAAAAAATATAGAAGAAAAGGAGCTCGATGGCGCGGGTGGTTATCGTGTTCGGCTGCGATCGTTGAAGTTACGCAACTTTCGCAGTGGTCGGTCATTGGATGGGTGACCAAAAATCTTCTATCTCGAGTTCCTCCGTGCTTCGGAAGGCACGTTAAGCCGTTGGTGCAGGCTGCATCTGCAGTCGTTAGCACTCGCCAATCCGCACTGGGCCCGCGTGGTGGGTCATCGCCCAATCTCCCTATTCCATCCATAGGGAAGGCCTGTGCCCCAGCAGTGGGGACATTAATAGGCTGATGATGATGATAAGTCCTCAACGTACCCACCTTCTTACGTGGTGTTATGTTAGGTAAGGTAAGTATTGTTTACTGTTGTAATGAGACACCCCACACTACGGTATAAAAACTGTGCCTATAGACACTCTTCCTGATAATATAATCAATCATATTGTTTCGTGTACATGAGTTGTGTACTATCATAGATGGAAAAGTTTATATCACTCAAGAACATCCCATCTAAGTAACGAACGTGCCACAATCCCCTGTACTGTATCTTATCAAAGAAATTATATCTTTACTTAGATTAGCTAAGATTTTGTGATAAGTAGGTATTTACTACATTAAATAAAAATCCTCGATAACAAAAATCTCTGTAGAATATACAAATAAAATAGGTTTGTAGATCTTACAGGGCCACTGTATGATTTTATTTATAAATATTATAGTCAAGTTGAAGTGAAATTTATTGAGCTTCGATCAAATTCAACAGATTTTATAAGCATAAGTGGATTCAAGACAACTTACAATCTTTTTATCTCTGCGAAATGTTCTTAAGCAACCTTCAGCCACCGGTTGAGCAAGATAAAATAAATAAATATTTCCAACACACACCAATTAGCCTAGCCCCAAAGTAAGCACTGTAAAGCTTGTGTTATGGGATGCTAGGGTAACGGATAGAATACAATATACAGTACATATATAAGTATATTTATATAGAAATACAAATTAAACATCCATGACTGGAGTACAAATGCTCTTATTCATCACACAAACATCTGCGCCCACCGGGATTCGAACCCTCTCGAGTCGGCGACACCATGAAACCCGGCGTATTAACCACTCGGCCACGGAGGATAAAGATGGTATCTGCGGACTCCTCCCTGCCGCATAAAAACCAGACAATACACCTGCAACGGTCATCCAACACACATTCCGAGGACCTAGGTCCCCAAAAGCATCCCGGATGTAGTCGCGGCACCCACATAACTTACTGTGTTCTGTGGCGCCACCCAATCGTCTCCGACTGGAGGCGTAGGACAACTTATAGCCAAAACTATTATTACCTACTATCTGTGGTTTGTACAAATTGTAAAATTATGCACAAGAAACTATTTTGTATTGTAACTTTGGAGTAGAAGGCAAAAGCGATGGAATCAGCAATCAATCGTCAAATAATTTGAAAAACTCACCTTACTTTAGGGTTGCCAACCCTACTATATAATATAGTATCCTACATATATAATACATCAAACTAAACTACATAATAATAAAGAAAAGATTACTAGAAAAAATTCCACGCGGACCAGGCAGCGGACGGGACTCGAACCCGCACCTTTCGCAATCCGGGCGAATGCACTGACCATTATGCTACCACGGCCCTATTCGCCGCGTCGAAATTTTCCTAGCCTTAAGCTGCAAGGCATTTTTCTAGTAATCTTTTCTTTAGATTTAAACATCTAGCAGTTAAATGCTTAAAAAATAAATAAAAACATAACTACATAATAATAGATAAAAGAAGACATATTGGGGACATAGATACCTCTTTTCTTGTGGGTTACAGGGCGGGGTATTTATTAAAACCGACAAAATGTCGAGATGGTGAACTCAAGCAATAGTATCCTACTATATGAGAGGATCAAATACTATATTTCTAAAAAAAATATAGTAGGCGAAACTACTATATTTTGCTTAAAGCAGCCTGGCAGTAAAAGCTTTCTTAAAGAAAACCGAAGTATTAAGGTACTAGGTAGGTGTAGAGCAGCAAAAATATGCTCATTTCAAAAATAAAGTAAATATTTTAACCACATACTATTTTAAAAGGTACTTAACAGTTTCGAAAACACTATATTTGATAGAAAAAAAGTCGGTAACTCTACTTTACATATTCCTCCTCTCCGTAAGCATTGTGCTGACCTCCTGTCGCTATTGTTCCCGGAGACCAACTCGAACCCAACAAATGGCAAATGTGCAGTGACTACCACCGATAGAACAATGGAAAACTCCACATGGTTAAGAGAAAATGGGCCAATTTTGAATTGCATTGGATCATGAGAAATTGAGTCTTTATTGTCGGGCAAATAATTATGCTATTACAGCCAATTCTAGGATGGAAATAATGAGCCACCTTTATATGGTTTTGCATAGTCCGCAGATGCGCAGACCGCAGCAATGGCGCCGCCTGGCCTCGCCAATACCATATTGTTTGTGTCGATACTGGCGACAGTTTGCAGTGGAAGAACAGTGAGTTAGACCATGAAAGTTTAAAACAATGTAACAGCATGTATACACCTATCAGCAAGTTGACCTAATTAGTCAGAGAGTGACTGTTTGGGAATGATTTAAGAACGGTCTCCCAATGTGTCACATTGGTGTCGATTCTAGCATGATTCTCTAAACCTAAATTTGACAACAGTGCATTTTTGTCATTCTCTGTACAGAATGAAAAGGAGAGACTGATGTTTAATTTAGTTTTAAGTTTAGAGAATCACGCCAGAATTGGCACCAGTATGGTGTAACTGGTTGGGAATTATTTTACAAAGTTCTCCCAATGAGTCACAGCGTTACAGGTTACAGTGTGACTCGTTGGGAACAAATGAGTTATCCCCTATACCCTATCAATAAACATTTAAATATTGAACAAAAATAGCTACCACTACGAACGGAGTGGCATTTTCCACGTCCATTTACTTCTGCGGAATCTATTTTCTTCCCGTCGTTCGAGACGCTTTCGGCTTCTGCGAACCAACACATGCATGCCTTTCACATTGACACTTCTTTCAAAATAAACTCCCCCTCTTACTTCCACATAACACAAGTTAATTACGAGTTCACAAGCGTTTGCTTAAGAAGTGTTTGTTTGTAGTTACACCACGTGAGCGAAGCTCATCCGCTGGCGTCGGAGCTGAGTTCCAGGCTGGCTGCGCACGCGCAGGACGCACGCCTGCCGCTGCCCACGCCCCAGGACATAGAGGCCATCAAGAAAGTCGCACAGATACTCGTCATGCTCGGGGAACAGGTACTACCTTTTTGTTTTTCTTTTTTTTTTGTCTGGGAAATGCTTTACGCATCCTTCAACCACCGGGGGAGCGAGAAGAAGATATGTGGGACTCCTCCCTGCTCATTTCAGCCAGCCCTTAGGCCGGGTGAAATGAGCAGGGCCCTACCTAACGCCCTGAACAGGGCCACTAAAAACCAGACAATACTCCTGCACCGGTCACCCGGCGTACATTCTGAGGACCGCAGTCCCCCCAATGCACGCTGGGAGTGCGGGTGTGGTCGCGGCAACCGTTGCCGACTGTCCGCGCACCCGCAGACAGGTACTACCCTACCAAAGCAGCCAGGCGGTACTTAGGAGCAGGCTACACTGGGGGGCGAGACGCGAGGTTCGTTGCACACGGATCTTGTAATTTTATTTTACTAGTAGATATGACCCTTGTTTCACACGAGGTCAGAACAATACTGTTTTGGCTGTTTGAACGCACTATCCAAGACATGATACAGTTACAATAGTTACCATGGCAGAACAGACCAGTCTATTTTTTGAAGCGGTTAGATCATCCTCGGCTACCCTTCTCAAATGGAAAAAATTGTCAGTGATGACTGTCCTTTCTGGCCATACTATATTTGTTCGATACTGTCCTTAGAGTAAATCAAAAGTGAAAGATACGGGGTATTTATTATCGTAGCGCTCGTGTCCCAAAAGTGCACCACTTAAATTAGGTCCATAAACACAAGCGGTAGTGATGATCTTAAGTATATGGTGGGATAAGTGGGTACAAAAATGGTTGATGTCCTCTATATACGGCGGTATCGCTGGTTATTATTTCCTAAGATTAAATCTAATTTCTGACATCAGAATTGGCGGTGTTTATTTATTGTTATGTTAATATATTTTTATGTTTTAATTATACCGATACACCGACACATTTTTAATTCCGAGCTATTATTTATCCATCGTGTAATGTAAACACGCCATCCTCGAGATTAGTATTTATGTAAACGCACGTTGGTCTCCAATTACAGAAATAATGCAACTTTCGCAATTAGGGCTTTTTTTGTCTCGAAAATGCCTTACGCATCCTTCAACCACTGGGGGAGCGAGAAGAAGGTATGTGGGAATTCTCCCTGTCCCCTTTAGCCAGCCCTGGAGCTCGCTGATGTGAGCAGGGCCCTACCTACGCCCTGAGCACGGCCACTAAAATTAACCCAGACAATACTCCTGCACCGTCACCCGACACGCACTATGAGGACCGCGGTCCCCCTACTGCGTACCGAGAGGGCGGGTGTAGTCGCGGAACCCGTCGCCGAATGGCCGCGCACCCGCCAGGTGTTAGTCCACGGACGAACCCACCCCAATGAAGATGCATGCCCCGGAGCATCTGCGCCATCAGTATCCAGAGAGCTTGTGCAATGCGAGCCTATCCCCCCCAGGACGGACTCGCGGCTCTCGCAGGAGTGAGAGGGAGAGCGTAGTTCTCTCCGTCCCTCTCCTACCCCCCCTAGGGGGTATCTTGAGCATCTACCTCCAATGGCAGTGATAAAGATCACTGTGTGGTGATGCTCCTGGTATTATACTTGGGGCCTCCCACTTATCGGGTTTGCTTTGACTATTTGCTATAGCTCCGTGTTGTGGATTATGGCTGGATCACTTGTATTATTATGTATTCTGTGCTATTATAACCAAAGAGATGGCCTGTGCCTGTGCCCCCCAATTTTTTATTTTTGCGTGTATATGCTGTTTGTCGCAGATGACCTTTACAGCGAACAGTGGGGCTATTTATAGACTGCTGGATGGATGAACTTTAATAAAGATTTTATTACTCGACAGGTAATTCCATTAATAATTGGTGATACACCCTCTAACAACATCAACGCGCCGGCGCCAGCAGTGGATGTACCTATGGACAGCATCAACGAAGACAGCTCATAGCAACTGCAACTACTACAAAGTTCATCACGTCCACACTACCTTAACACTATAAAAAAAATTATACCTATCATCATCAGCCTATTAATGTCCCCACTACTGGGGCACAGGCCTTCCCTATGGACGGAACAGGGAAATTAGGCCATGACCCCACCACGCGAGCCCAGTGCAGATTGCTGGGTGCTAACGACTGCAGATGCAGCCAGGACCAATTTCTTAACGTGCCTTCCGAAGCGCGGAGGAGCTCGAGATAGTAAATTTTTATTTACAAAAGTTGCTTAATTTCAGTGATTGCAGCTGAAAGCGCTAACCACCTGCGCCATCGAGTTCCTCAATACCTATAATAAGGGTTGCCATGCCACCCGTACTTTATTATAAAGTATTGTACATTATTTCGGGTATGTGTACTCTATACTTTATGCTAACAATAAAGTACGCGAAAATACTTTATTTAATGTGATTCCATTACTCGGGGATTAATTTTACATAACATATACAAAAAGAGGTTGATAGGAAAACTTTTTGCGTAAAAGCTAATTCTTGCAACATTTTCGTGGCGTGACTTTCGAAAAGAACTACAAGTTTTTAATAGCTACAAATTATTTATTAAAAGTTGCTAGTGGCAACGTAAATATATTTTAAGCTTACTAATAAAGAGGAATAAAAAGTATTTTGGCTACAATGTACTCTTTTTTCTACCTTTAATATCCAATGTACTTTATTTTGACAAAAAAAGGTGGTAGGTAGGGTGGGTACCTATAATGTAACAAAAATGCCGCTTACATCATCACACTCGTGCACGTGATATGAGCATCAAAATTGGGCGTACACCCAATTACCACTGTATCACGGCAGCACTCAGTGTTGCCAGGTCTCCAGATTTTACAGGAGATCTCTTGTTTTTGTGAAATTTCTCCTGTTCTACTGTTTTTCTACATGAATCTCCTGTTTTTCTTAGAATACGATTTTCTTTTTTAAGTTGCATGTTGAGTTTCATTTTCCGCCATTAATAACGTAGGTAACCTAAATAATTATAAAATAAATGTTATTGTCTAAAAAAACTTTGCGGGGCGGCAGAAGCCACAGAAACACATTCTTTTCTATTCGTTATTGGTCTTTATCTTGATTTGATTTACCAATTCTAAGGGGGAGCGGGGGGGGGGGGTGCAAACCGGAAACAAAAAGTACGCCTCTGCATCTACTGTTTTTCTTGTAGCTCTTTTCTATAACGCCTACACAATTCCTTATGACTATTCTCACATTCACGGAACTCTATGGCGCTGGTGCATAGCGCATTTGGCCTGCGAACGTTAATTTCGCATTGGTCGGCCATTGGATGAGTGACCGAAAACTTATTATCGCGAGCTCCTCCGTGCTTGGCACTGGTGGATCACTACCCAGCCTCCCTATTCCATCCATAGGAAAGGCCTGTGTCACAGCTGAATGTTGACAATGCCTTGTCTTTCTCTATACATAATAAAAAGGAGTGACTAATGTTAAATGTAGATAAGGAAAATGCATGCCAGAATATATACCATACCATTCATTCATTTCACACATTGAGCGACTTTTATTACCTTTTAATTAACAAACTTTTTGTAATAGCTTCCAAATGTCAAATTAAGATGAAAAAGCCATCATCACACGAGCCTAGAATTTATGTAGTTACACCGTGATAATTATCGTGTTCTGAAAAAAAAATGACGTTTACGATATACTCACGAACGTTTATTCATGGATTTTGCAATTCGAGTAGGGAATCATTGTGTGCTCTAAGATATTTTTGTATTACCTTTGATCCATTGTACCTTCAATCTTCCGAACGGATCCAACTCCACATCCGGAAAAACACCCCAAACTTTAATGTTAACATTACCGTGCTTGACTATACTCCTTGTGTATTTATAATTAAAAGCATTGTTTACAGGACGTGTAACATAGCGCTTTCCATCGGAATTTACCATATTTATTTTTGTTACATCTGAAACTAACACTTTTTTCCGTTCTCGTATCGTCCAATTAACATATTTTTTAGCGAATAATAATCGATTCTCTCGGTGTTCCTTGGTAAGAAGCGGTACCTTTCGAGAAATTCTTCCAAACATTTTTTTCTTGCTTCCACTAATCTTCGGCGTATTAGACATGACGAGATGTTTCTCGGGTCATCAGGCGCAAAAACTTCACTCGAAAATCGTTACCCTCCGCAGTCCAGTAAAAAGTAGATTTCGCCATCTTGCATCGTTTGCTATTATTAAGGGTATAAAAGCAAAT